CACACACACACACACACACACACACACACACACACACACACACACACATGTCTTATAACAAAACACAGACACAGTTACAGCAGCTCACCTACCCTTCCTTGGCCAATGAAAACTCCTTAATTAGAAAACTTGCATGATTTTATGATCTTGAGTGGCATAATAAAGCTCTTTTCACAATCAAATGTAGTTAATGTTGTACTTATACCAATAATATCAAAAGAGAAAAAGAGATCTTACCTAGGCGTACCAATAGCAGATGTACATTAAATTACTCGTGCTGAATTTCTTACAATTCATGTGCCCTTATCGTTGTTATAGTATAGGCCAAAAGCTGTGAATTGCACTGATTATAAATTGGTCAATAATGCATTAGTCTTTCAAAATACAATTTATGGATGGTGCTGTTTGAACTAGATACAGGGGATTCATGTAACCTCCAAGCATCCAGACACAATAACAGGCTCTGTTCTTTTTAGGAATCCTAATGAGCATTTTGGCATGTGGATTTCTGCACATCTGTCTACTAGATGTTTCAGCTCTACAATAACCCTTTTCTTTAAGCTCTACCCAGAGCCCTTAACTCATAGCAGAGACAGTATGTTGGCGATTAGCAGAATAATAGCTCTATGACATCCTATGAATAATTTTGAGAGTCATTTAGGCATGCACACACATATATAGCTGCAAAGAAATGAGAAGCCTTCTGTGTGAAGCTTTTGCATTTTAGTTTAAAGAGAAAAACAGAATTCTCTGCATTATGAAGTAGGAGCTCCCCCAAGCTGTCAGATCTGGCTTGAATAACTCTGCTCAAACAACTGAGTTCCTGGCAGAAATTAATTCCCTTATTCTGCAGCATTGATCCTTTTATTTTGTTTTGCTTTTAAGTAAAGTCTTCTTCACGTTGAGCTTCAATCCTGATGACTTCATAGTCATTTTGTAGTTTTCCTGGAGATAATATAGAAGTGGCTTCCCACTAATGTTTGCAATTTTGTTGTCTCCTACTACGGTTTGCAGTCATGTTATTTAGGAAATGAGCCTGCCAAAATAAGATGTATACCTGGGAAAAATAATAGCAATCCCAACTTTAAAAAACAAATAAAATGTGCTATACCCGTGATGGCGAACTGATGGCACGCGTGCCACAGGTGGCACATGGAACCATATTTGCCGATATGGCAGCCCTCAGCCGCAGCTGATTTTTGGCTTTCCAGAGGGCCAGGGGAGGCCCTTTTCACCCTCCCCAGGCATCAGGAAAACCTCTAGAGCCTGGGGAGGGTGAAAAGTCCCCCCCATGTAGGGGAAGGTTATGCACGCATGCGCAGGTGGGTGGGCGCACGTGCGATAGTGCACAAGTGCAGAATTTTGGCACACCTTTAGAAAAAGGTTAGCCATCACTGTGCTATACTGTATGTTCCAATGAGTCAACTGCGTGAGAGGGTGAGCTCCTGTTACTTAGCTCCTGCCCACCTAGTAGTTCGAAAGCATGCAAATGCGAGTAGATAAATAGGTACCACTTCAGAGAGAAGATAACAGCGTTCCATGTGCCTCAGCATGTACTGGCCACATAACCACCCAAGTGCTGGATCCTTTGCTAAGAAACAGAGATGAGCACTGGAGTCAGACATGAATGGAAAAGGGAAACCTTTATCTATCTTTAGCCAAAAAGCTGGTTTGGTACTGTTGGAAGACATGTCCTTGTGGGTTCAGCTCCAGGTGGGGGAAAAGACACTGGAAACATGGAGGCTCCTTGGAAAGATGGTTTAATGGCAAACAGGATCACATGGCTTGAGCTCCTGAAAAAGAAAAGGGGGATCACATGCTTCCAGATGTTGGGTGAAGAAGAAGAAAAGAGAACAAGATGCTGAAAGTTCCTGGTTTTATGCCCTCTCTGGCCTTTGATCTTGATCTTGTATTCTGACTGGTTGTCAGATTCCCGTGGGGCCATGCAGGGGCAACTTTGTAAGTTGTGAATCCACATTTGGTTGAGCATTGCTTCTTCCCAGATGCCGTGTGGTGAGATAGGTAAAGGGCTAGTACTATCATGCCTTAATCCCATCACCCTGGAGCTGAAGGGGGGAGATCTGTGTTATGTAGAACAGACTGACCCAGGCTTTTTTAATAGCGCATTGACAAAGGTAAGGGCGATTAAGAGTGAGTCTGCTTCCTGCCTAAAAACATGTTGCTCCATTTCCGATCCAGGGAAATATAACATTCTGCCTTTTCAATATTTCCCAGGATATTTCATTTTTCTGGGAAAGGGGTTCCTACAGTACACCATGCTGATCTGAACTGCAGTTCTCTGTGGTTTGGTGTGTTATATGATAGCACAGTCATTGAAATGTAGATGAGTCAGAATTATAACAGAAGGGGATTAGATTTCTTCTGAAATTCATTCATAAAACCATGGAAGTTGTTGACTATTTGGCCCATTAAACAACAGCCTTTGAAGAACTAGGCGTGTCTGCAATTGTAATAATCAAATACTCATGCTAACATTTCCCCACTACTCCTAAGCTTGTTACGGTAAGAATTGCTGTTAGTGTAAGGTTGTTGTGAAAGCTAATTATTACAAGGAAATACATTCTTATTCTTCTTCCCTATTTTGCAAGAACTCTCCTTTGTACTTAACATGGCTTAATTTAAATTTCAGGGGGAAACCAAATCTTCTAGATATGGGATCTCTGATGATCAAGCCAATACAACGTGTAATGAAGTACCCTTTGTTATTGTGTGAGCTCTTAAATGCCACCCCTAGGTCTCACCCCGACCACAAAGCCTTGCAGGATGCCTTGGTTGCTATGAAAGAGATGAATATGAATATAAATGAACTTAAAAGGAGAAAGGATATAGGTAAGAGAAAGTCAACAATATGGGATATCTCGGTGCTTGTATGACCTTTTCAGAACAATGAAATGACCATGATAGAAAATAAGATGCTGGACCATATTGATTTCCCCCCTGTATGGAATGAAATTTGAAGCTTGGCAAGCAGCAGCAGCAAGCAGCTTTGTTTTAAATATAAGTACCTGAGGAACGACTGCGAAAAAGCATCATTCTCCTCGTTTCCATTCTTGTGAGCTTTCAATAAATTTAGCTGGCCACTGTGAAAACAGAATTGTAGATCAAACAAATCTTTGTCTGAATCTATTAGGAATTTTCGTGTGGCTAAAGCTTAGATATACAACTGAAATGCCTTTCCTGAGTGGGTTGTTTCATCCCACATTAATCTGGGTTGATCTAAAGAGCTGACCAAATTATTTGTTTGCAAATTAAGCTATGGATTGATTTATAACAGTGATTCTCAACCTTCCTAATGCCGTGACCCTTTAATACAGTTCCTTATGTTGTGGTGACCCCCAACCATAAAATGTCTTCTTCTTCCCCTCTCTTTCCTCCTCTCCTCCTCTCTTCTCCTCCCTCTTATCCTCTCTCCTCCTCTTGATTCCCCTCCTTTACTCCCTCTGATTTACCCTTTCTTCCTTTCGCGCCTCATCTTTCCTCCTTTCAGTTGTTGCCCTTGCTTATTTACTTTCTCTGATGGGTTCTCGGGGTGGCATTTCAGGAAACCCAACTTTATATTTTCATACATATCTGTTACATTTTATTTCTGATAATAATTCCACTTGTATCATTTTTTAAATTGTTATCTTGCATTTAATTTTGTTTTGCTCTTTTCCTTTGTGCATGGTTTATGGCACTTTTGGCAAGCAGGTTTTCATTGTGTGAATGGGGGCCAATTCGGGCTCCTGAGCTTGGCTCTTGATGACAGCTCTGGTTGTGGATTTAGATATAGTTAAAAGTACCTCGCAGCGGCGTGGAAAACATAGCCACGCACACAGCCTGCACAATTACAGCCCGGAGCAGG